CATTTTCATGATAATTAGGGATATTGATCATGACGTGCATACGTAAATGTCAGTCGTGAGTTTGTTTTTCGCGGAAAAATTCCAGTCAAAATTACTCAAATATGTTTTGACGATGGTATCTTCACATGTGAGAAATGGAATTGCTTATATTATGCGAATGAACGAGGTCTTCGGCCACTGACCGAGTGATCTCTCACCAAGAAACTCAAAAATGGGATAAAAACGCAAATGAGATTTTTGGGCATCAGGAGTTGATTTGGATGAACGTATCTCCTCAAGCCCCTCATGAAGTTATTCAATCTCCTGAACTTTCTCCACTCAAAACTCTGTGCGACATCTCGCGCGTGTCACTACACCATCAACGAGCCAACGCCCTTCAAGAATACCGCAAAAATAACCAAGACAAAGGGGTTCACGGAACAAATAAACCACTCAACCAGTTTTCTTTATTATCGAAATAGTGAGGCGAGTAATCCGGGAATTTCCGCGAAGCACGATAGCTCACACGGAAGCTAGTAAACAAATAGCACGGAGGACGAAGAGTCTGACATGACTCTCGGCTTCCTGTTCGCATTGGAATTACACCGGCGTTTAGCTAATTACGCCATCACTCCCTCTCTCCCATTTCAATTTCCTTTCTTCCAACTTGTTTCACGGAAATTTTTCCACTTTAAATTTAAGAGTATTTAATTTATGATTTCATAATGAGTAGATTACTTTTTTCAAACTACCACGCGTGACAAATCATCGCAGTGACGTAATTGCCCATACAAAATTCAGTCGCAAAAGCTCGAAAGTCAGATAAATTCGCAGTGGCATTAAATATTCAATTGTGCATTGTTCATCAATAACGAGAAACAATGGGCGAAGGCCTCGAGGTAAGTTGCCAACGAAAAATTTATATGTAGTGACACGAGGCCCACAGATTCCACTGATCCATTAGAGAGATGGCCAGGGTCACGCGACCCGTTTCACCAGGGTCAATCCAGTTGAAATTGTTTGACTTCCACATACGAATGACGAGACCACAGCCACCCAGCGCAAGCTGGATTACTTAATCAAATTTCAATTTGCTGGTTCAGACAACTGCAACTCAACCGAAATGCTATTCAACACCTCTATCTGTCATCTAAATTCAATGATTTTAGGCCGTGACTATTCGCACCATTGCGTGAATCACTCCCGTACACTCCATACACTCCACGCATGCGTGAAGTTTGTGTGTTTCACGCAGCCGAATTTTCATACTGCTGTGTATTTCACGAAACTTCACGCATGCGTGGAGTGTATGGAGTGTACGGGAGTGATTCACGCAATGGTGCGAATAGTCACGGCCATGATTTTAATGCGAATGAATATTCAATTGCGAGACCAATGCACAGGGAGATCGATGTGATTGTTTGGATGTAAATAAACAACAAGATGATAAATAATATGTGATGAATAATGAGAATGAGAAGAACAAGGATCAGGATTGAGTCGAGGAACGCATTAACCCAGATTGTCGATGGAGGCGAGGCACCAACTAGATTTTTTACATAGTTTTATTACTTATATGGATTTTATGGGCCCGTTTACCATGACACATGCAAAATGACGTTGAGCGGAAGTTCGTAAGTCCTTTAATTGTGGTTTATTGTCAAGGTAAATATAATACAACAAAAATCTGAATAACGAAAAAATATGTATATTCTGTCGTTTCCCGATTTTTTTTACATTGATTTCTGCATAAATATGCATTTTGAATTTTAATGCAACTAGCTGAATGAATTCTCACGTATTTGTTGACTATTGCTATGCAATTTGTTAATTATCACCTGTTTGTTTACTCGATTAGAAATCTAACATGTCAATAAAATCATTGAACTTTCAATTTTACTTGTAAATTAATATTTCCACTAGATGGAGTCAATCATAAAATAGAAAATGAAAAATCCTTACTTTCACTCGCAATCAAATACAAACTACTAAAAAATGATTAAACGGAGGAATTTGTAAATGAGGAATGTCAATTAAAGACAATGAAAAATATAATAACATAGGGGCGATAACGAAGAGAAAAAGTTGAGTCATGAATTTATAAACGAACCACTCAGGTTAATTAGTCTTTATTCCCAGCTCTGCGTTAACTCCAACAAAAATGAATTGAAATTGAATAGCAGAGCAAAGCACAAGAGGATCAAGGTCTCCGCGAAATAAAAAATGGACTCGTGAATTGAGCATAAGAAAGGAACAAAAATCCTGCAATGCTCGGTTTATTTCGAGAGTTTCGCCCCGGGGTGTCGATTACCGAGGAGCAGCCGATTGAATAATCCACCCAGACTTAACCTGTCACTGGGGACCCACTTGGTGTATGCATATGGGACGTTTATTGCTAAATAAAAGTGCCTGAAACGTTTCAAAATTACGGAAAATTGCATTACAACATGCGCACACAAATTCGCATTATTCAATTAAAACTCACGTGAATACTACCTGATTGCAATACTCAATAAGGCAAAAAAAACCATAATTTTTTGACCTAATAAATTGATAAAATTGAAAAAATTCTGTCCATTCATTGAATTTTGGATTATTCGAAAACAAATAATTCATAATTCTCCAAACAAACTCATCATTCAAATTTTTTATTTAAAAATAATAATTTAGACACCGATAATCCCGATAATTGACGTTTGACTCAAGATATTCGTCAACAAATCATCTGTTCCGAATGTAAATCGCCTCATTTTCTGTAATTAATCACGTCACAACTGTAATTAGTCAACAAATCTTCTCAAATAACAGAACGAGGAAATTAAAGCCCGAGATAACATATCGAATGCCCGAATCGTCACGACAGAAAACCCATAACGTTAAATCTCCCATGGTATTAGGAAGAAATCCAAGAGTTGTAAACGAACGGTATCCAAATTACGATGCAGAGCAGCCCGGATACTTAGTATGCAATAGACGAAAACCGGATTGAGAGTCACATCAGGTCGCGCGTGTCAGTTTATGCTTACATCAAATATCCAGGTAAACAGGGATTTTCAAAAAGTCACAAAAATGTGAGAGAGAAATAAACAAATAATGTATCAAATTGCTGCAATATCAACTTCCAGTTTTCACGGTGGCCTTGTGGATAATAAGCCCGCGGCCTCGGGACGGGTTTCGACGAGGGACATGTAAAAATTCAATAAATGGATAGAATTTTTTTATCCATTTGTTGATCGTCCCGACTGAACATAAACTCATTGAAATTATATATAAAAATAATTTTCCTGATTCAAGGGACAGATTAATTGGGGCTAGTGATTGGCATGCTGCACATTTTCGCTTCTAACAGGGGAGAATGGGATTATCCGTATGATTTCGGTGAATCCATTCCTATGTAAAACCCAATTACCCTCTACCATTTTACCCCCCTCTCTCCTGTAAATCCGAGTTCATTGCTTTAATTCAGACCCGCAACTTATCCTTCTGTCAATTCCGGTATAAAAATATCCCCTGAAACACGGATTATTCACGCTCCATCGAGTACTCGCGCCTCTACTGTCACATTCACTCTCTCGATATCCTGATTTTCATTGCTCACCGCAAAGATCGCACACAGCCGATTAATTCAGACACATGATTAATAGCCATGTGGTATTATTCAAATAGCATTTAATAAGAGAAGAATTTTCTTTTTAAAAAATGGCACGTGGAATAAATCACCCCAAAATGTTTATCAGGCTTCCCATCGCGCTGAGAATAATTATCGTTTTTTTTCTGTTGAGGAAGTCAATGACAGGTTAATTACCCTCTACTCTTGAGCAAGAGGAATTGGTGAAATATGATTTGAGCTTGAAGAATGCGATTTGACTGTAAATCAAAAGCAGAAGCTGCAATATTGAATATTTAAAAAATTAGATTGTAAAAAAATAGATTTTTTTTTATTCCATTACTTCTTAATAACTCTGGAGGAAAATTTTCGACAAGTTGGAAGCGACATTGGAATTCTGAAAGTCATCTCTAGATTTTTACTCAATGTCGAAAATTAATGCCCAAGAATATTCCAATCGTTAATCAATCCTTCATTATAGACTCACTATTGAATCAATGGAGACTGGTTAATAAACCTAGAAAATCCACTGATACGTGAACTGGAACGCAACGGGTTCACCTGCTCGTTGAGGAATGGTGTATTACCAACGTGACGCAATGCCCGCGATACCGAGGGTAAGCCAATCAACATTACTGGGGTTGTTATGGTTAAATGCTTTAGGTTCAAGGCACTCATTGCATCAGGTACCGTCGACTAATGAAATATGCAGTACCGCGAGGAGAATCAAGAGCACAAGATTAACACAAACTACGGCAGATCATCACCATCAATTCTCAAATGAATATTAGACTACAGATTTAAAAAAAATTACCTTCTGCGGAAGCAGAAAATGGTGTTCTCGGAATTCAGGTCATTCCAGCCACCGAAGTGGAGGATAAAAACGGCCGGGAGGAGCGTGAATGGAATACACAATCGACCCGAGCAGATTGCGAAAATGTTTTTTCACATGTATCATGAAAGTTGAGAGAAGTCCTGCCAGTAATTATTATGAAAGGATTTGTCTCGACTCTGAGTTGGCAAGTACTAATCCGATGTTATTTCATACCCACCAGACAAACAACTTGAATGTTTTTTCTTCGTTGAAAAAGTGAATTATTGTCACAACCCTAATAAAACAATCTCTAGAATTCTCCGTGTCTCAATTACATTCTCATTACATAATTATCTCCGAAACGAGTCAATTGAGAAAATTGTCAAGAAATATTTCCCATAGCCAACGCGATTTCGAAGGATTTCATTTGTATTTACATAGAGCCATGAGATGAAATTTAATGTCTCTGTCGGTGGAATAAATGTGGAAATGAAGGATGAAGACTAATGAAAATTCATGAGCTCTCGTAAATACCATCAAAATGTCTGAAATCATTAGACCCTGAGAAAAAAAAAAGGAATGAATGTTTCAAAAACTCACCGTGGTCCACCGGCTGATGTGACTGTCCCTGGTGCAGATGAGCGTAATAGTGATGATTGTGCAGGATGCACTCAAGATCAGTGCAGTTGAGCATCTTCCGTTGTCGATGTCTCTCAAATTCACTCTAAAGAATCCCCAACTCTCACAAACTCAACTGTGTCCAATAATTAATATCACAGAGTGCACAAACAACTGTAATGACTCAGTGAAGTCCTCGATAAAGTCCCTTCCACATCAACCCATGTTAATCCCGCGTATTCTAATCAGTAAATCACTTGTCTCGGTAAAAATGATGGAGTATCTCCGTGAAGCCGCACGAAGTCCAAATATTTTTTTTCTCTTCGACATTCAACTCGCGTTACCGAACCTCTTCCGGTTGTTACTCTGTTACTGTACCCCCACCATAACCCCACACACTTTTATTATTATTAAAATGTCAGCAAGGACACACGTGACTATTCTTACCCCCAATCACAACGGAATACTGTGCATTAATTGGACTTGGCGAAGGGTTGCAGGCACGTGGAGAGGAGAAATCTCAGTGAAAAGCGTACGATCTTGGCACCTCTCTGTAGATCCTCGTTTGGACCATGAGTGCGCGCTAATCAGGCATCCAACTCGCTTTCTAAAGTGTACAACAAAGTTCAATAATCCCGAATGAAACAATTCACTGAATGAATAAGTGATATAAGCCGGGGGAGTTGTCCCACGTGAATGAATGCAGTTGATTATCTCTTCTGTTCCGACAAATTTGTCAGGAAACTGTTCCGTCGTCTCGAGGACCCACTCAAGGTCGTGGCCCAACGGTTTGTCATGGACCAGAGAGGTTCACCGACTCGTCGAGGACGTACGAGTACTAACTGCAAGGTCACTATATTCCCTTCATCGATTAAGGGCTTATAAACACGAGTTATTGGTGTTTTTACAAGTTCATTTCACTCCAATTTTTCCCTCAATTTCCGATCGTCGAAGGACACACGAGACTCTCGCACTTTAACCACCGCTCAAGGCTCCCCAGTACGACCTTATGGAAAATTTCCGTGTAAACACATGAGATGTTTCAGAAATATTCACGTGTGTTTTGATTGCTCTGCGTTTCAATCACTGAGATCTGCGTTTCCTCAAAAATCCATTAACCCACGTCCATATTGACTGAGAAATTATTCCAAAAGCCACTGAATCCAAACACTCGCGACAAGTGATGGACGAACGATTGTGGCTTCAGTCGTTGGAATTTGTTCACTCAAAGTCCTATGATTGTTGATTATTGTTCCCCCGGTTGGAGGTGCACGGTGGGTAGAGACACTTAGGACACATTTAAGAGAACGTTGGCTGGTCCTTTATCGATCTGAGCTGAACGATCGTCGTGAACGGTATGTGACGGTGGCCGGGCGTGTTGAGCGAGTGTACTTGGGCCCCCCTTGGGATTTAATGCGAGTGTGTGGGTCACTCAGTCACCAGCCGACACTTACTTTCCAGTCGCCATGTTTCTCCCTCCCCCTTCTTTGGGTTCAACGGAATCCTTTTGGATTTTTCAATTTTGGAATGTCTAATGAGGCGGATTATCTGTCTCGAGATACTAAATGCATGGAATTTTAGAAATTGAAGATTTCCATTCTCATTATTATTTTTTGTTTTACTCCAAGATGTTTTTAATTCTTGTGTTTACGTTGGTTTGTTACGATGCAAACAGAATTGAATTATTGCGAGGGAGTTATCATTGGAATTCCGATGTGATTTCAAGTAATAAAAATGTCACGAAATATTTATTAAAAAAGTTTTCTGTAATTTTCCTCTGAAATCACACATTATCGCGTTATTACTCATTACATTCGCCAGTTTTCACATGCACTCGCGGCTTCGGAAAGTCTGAGAATGATCTAGTTACTCTCCTGTGGATTTATTTCCATGTTCAGTCACTCGACTGAGCACGGTTCACGAATTGATTACGAAATTAAAAAATAGTTTACTTCAAATTGTTATTCCTGATTTTACTGGCTATCTCTCCTGCCCTGTGAAAAGGGAAAATCGAGTAACTGCGGTGAGTTAAATTTTCCCATTGAAATTCTTATCGATAATTCTCCATTGTATACACTCGCGACGATCGGAGATTTGAGAATGATCGAATAGGCTCTCTCGTTTTGCCGATAAAATCGGCATGCGTACCGCTACCGTGCGCCTAGACGACGTCCATAAGCTTTCGCCTTTCGAATGCTACTTCCCCAACAATTCAATGGATATAGAGACCAGCAGTGACATTTTGGTAATCGAATTAATCGTAGATAAATAAAAATTTTCAACCAATCAATCAATTTGGAGGAAAAAAGTTGATGAATAATGTTGAGGAGAAACTTTAATAGATAAATTATTGAAAAGGGGACTTATCGAGACACGACGAAAGAAACACACAAGACTTGATCAATGCTCTAGATCTGGTTTTGTATAGTAGGTGTGCGAAGCTTCTGTGTCACTGGACCGACACTTGGCGCCTACTTTTTGTATTAAACTGTTTTGTTTTAAACGCGTTTTGTTTCAATCCCGCCTGATACAATTGACTTATTACCACTATTTTTTTCCCACCCATTAATTAGCGATAATAAATTACAATGGATTCTCTGATCACCTCACGACGATGGTATCTACGTAACCTTTGGTATGCTACCTAAGGACGCAAATTAATTTTTCTTGAGGTGAAAAAAATTCAAATGATATATGTGGAAAAACGAGGGGAAATCATTCGCAAACTTCCGCATTTGTGGGGCTGGTGGTAATTGCCCTCCAGGGTCGCCTTGAATTCGACAATGACCGAGATTTAATATTTTTTTTGTGCCCCAGGCAGAGTGACTGAGGAAATGATGTTTTTCGAAATATTCCTCTGAAAAATTTTCTTTTTTGAAAAATTGAATTCAACTTTTCCTCAGGGAATTCAAAATTTCGAAATTCCGAAAGAATGTTCATTTCATTGATAACCCCCCAATGCTTGAAATGACAATAAATTGAAGGGTTTACCTCTATAATTTATCACGTAAAGACGAGAGGTATGGGAGTGCGTGTAACTCCAACGTGATAGGCAGTTTTTCATCAGGTCCCACGGGTTTCACGAAGCTCCACGACAACTCTCGTGCTTTCTCGCATGTTCGTCTCACTCTCGCGGCTCGATCAGACATTGTGACGCCGGTTTTCCTGTACACTGTACGGCTCTCGATTGCCCTACATTCCCATTAGTCAATCACTTTTTCATCTTCAATCGCCACTTTCGTTTGAGAAAATTATTTCACGTAATTGAGAAAAATTTTGCAAACTGGAATCAGTAAATCAACATCATTGATATAAATACTAGAAAATCATGACAAATTCAATCCAATTTTTTTGAATGAAAAGTATAGAATTGAATTTCATTACCGAATTGATAAAAATGGATGGATATTCCTCACTTGAAAATGACTCATTTATCGAGACGTGAAAAATCATTCGTGAATTAGTCATTCTTCAAATGTCTTATCATTTAACTGAATTTTCAGAATGGATATTAGAGTCAACCTGGCCCATAAAAGATATCTCCATAATCTCTCGCTTGTGGCACCGTGAATTACATTCCGGAAACGTTGCGCTTGTCCTCGAGGACGTACTCTCTGAGATAAAACTGGACAAGTCAATAAAGTGTACATTTTGCTACCAAGATGGTGGGGGGCACGCTATCAAGAGGCCTCAATTGATCATGACTTACCAGATTGGACCGCCTTTGATGTGTACATACGTCCAATTTATCTAGCAGATCTGAAATTCAATGCAGATTCTAGTAAAACGTAGCAACCCGAGCGAAACAATCTCGTTAATTATGTAAATATCACTGAAACTAGTGATTTATTGGAAAATGCCGAGAGGCCTTTGACATTTCCCTCCAGAATTCCTCGTTATTGAGATCATTCTATAATTAACAGATCCTGATATTTTACCTCAAATATTTCACAATTTCTCACACAATTAAAAATATTCATTATATTGAAGTTGAACTGAAATTTCAAGCAATTTCGTCATTGAAAATTCAAAATTAATGGAAAAATTAATGGAAGCTGTAAATTAATTGAAAATTCATTTTTTTTTTCAAACAGTGTATCCCCACAATGTTTCTATCTGCGATTCTGGTATTTAGGTCTCAAGAACTCTCGTCCTATCGCCAACAGTGTCACTCCAATGTCCCCTGAATTTCCCCCGGAGCCATAGAGAAATTATGGTGAATTGTAAATCACGTTTCTCTGTAACTATAGGATCGAGGATAAATGACAACTGCCATTTGAGATCAAGTTTCCACCGATGAATAATGATCCGCTGATAAACCCACGGGGGCATAATTGCTCCGCAAACTTGTCCCGCAATTTGTTCAGTCTATCAAAATTTCCGGAGCTCATTGAAATTATCACTGACTCGATGTCATCGATAAACAAATTTCTACCGACTTACTAGAGTCGCATGTTTCACAAGGGAGGCTAATAATACATTACGCAATGGACACGCGATTACCTATTAACATCATAACGATGCACACATGACTGATAATTGAAAGCTTACTGATGAATGTGACTAATAAATGATTTACCTTTTTATTTATACCTCGACGACTGGAAATTATGAAGTTGTTTTTCGTATTTGTGGGCTTTTAATCTGACCTGTAACCCTTTATTTGTTAATGAATGAGTGGCGATCGATTTTTATAATCATTCTCAACATGTATTGCACTGTCGTAGACATTTCCAATCCGCTACATCAATCGAGCCAATAAGGAAAACGTTAAAAATAATTGCCACTGAAAAAAAAGACTGACAGTTATTTTCTCCACTCATTAACAACTCAATTCTAATAAATCTCGGGTAACAATCAATGTAAAAGCATAAAAAATGTTACAAAAAGTCTCAACACTTCCGTAAAAAATTCGATTCTTCATTGTTCCGTAGAATATTCTCATTATGTAACGTTTGTAACGGATTGAAAGAAAAAAGTAATCAGGCACAATTTTTTTCGTCAGAGATTGTCGTTGATTCAGGGCCATTAGCTGTTCGTCTGCGCAAATGATCCCCAACAGTATTGGCGAAATAACTTGCATTGGCAAACAGACGTGCCCTCTCCCTTGCTCTCTCAGCTTCACGCTTTATTATTATTTCTTCAGTGAGATAAGCCTCGCATTTAATGCGATCTCTCAACTTTCTGGGAACACCGGATAAACACCACTGCACTGACATTGTAAATAATCCAACGACACTCTGAAAAACTACGACGAAAATAAATCTCGCTGCTAGGATGCGCCAGTACAAACTTGGCCTTTTGTACGGTTGTTCCGGATGATCAGGGGGATTTCTGTATTCCGAGTATCTGCATTCTGATATGTTGGCAAAGGTACTGTGGATGGGTGCAGTATTCTCTTGAAAATCTACGGTATTGAAATATGCCAGACTGTGATTTAGAAAACCCACGTCTGAGTGATCTGGACTCACTGTCCTCATGTAGACGAAACGAGGGATCAGGTTCGAGGAAAATGCAATGATGAATGCCTAAAATAATAGATGAGAGTCATAGTTGATGAAAGTTCAACTGCTGTTCATGAAGAAATTCAGTATTAAGGCCCGGGGGCATTATCATCTTTAGAATCTAAAATGTTTCCCAATTTCCGCTTGATTTCACGTCGCGCAAGAGTCTTTGGAAATTATACTTATACAATAGAAAACGGGAAGAGAAAAAAACTAAAGATTCTCAAAGTGTTATTCTAATAAAGATTAAGAAATAAGTTCAATAGGGAGGAAATGGAGAATGAATTATTCTGCAAATATCACATATTGAATCATTAGAAACACTTACATTAGTCGTAACAGAAATTCGTGCTAAAGCATCGAGAATCTGTTTCCAAATGCCAATATCCCTCGCCCGCCTGGGTACAGGTCTCCTATAGTGCCTCAAAAACTTGGTGGCATCGAATCTCATCTCCAGAACATTATTGGCCAGTGCAAAGAGTGGAGCAAGTGGAAAAGCCACGACGAAAATGGTAATGAACCCGAACTGAATGACCATCTCCAGATACTCATCGTAGAGTCCTCTAGGACTCCAGTCCAACAATTTAAAGTCCCTGATCCATTGACTCCTCGATGGAATCGGATCTTTCTGTTTCAAGCCTGTGTGGATTCTGAATAATGCCCACCACTTCAATAAAATAGGCAAAACCATCTCCAAAGCAGTGGCAATAGCTTGTTTCCCAACCATGATAATTGCCAATTGAATACTCAGCTCCATCAGGCACCCTCCAGGAGAGCATTCCTCCTGTCTGAATCCAAGAATTCTGTTGTATTTCTTTGGATACCCTGGGAATTTTCCCTTTAAAAATGCCACGTAGAATATTGAAGCGTAATAATTGACGAATTGAAAGACGTAGACTTTCAGAGTTAAACTGTCATCGAACTCCTGCTGGGTCCTCAGCATCTCCATCTCCGTGAGGTAGACAGCAAGCCAGTCGTAAAAATAATTCAAAACTAGAATGCAAACTAGATTTATCGCTGCAGCAACACTGGGAAGAGCAAATGTCTTGTACTGATTGCTGTCTAATTCCCTTCCAAACAAGGAATTCGATGTTATCATGGACATCCTGTAGAGGACAACAGCGAAGACAGCAGCCACGGCTACAAGCACCAGTAGAATGACAACAGAGAAACTTAACATTGTAGCAGGGACTCGAACTTTCCAGAAGCTGACGTGAGGTTCTGTCTCCCGAGTCACTGGATTCAGTTTATTTTTCACTTTGAAATTCAAGTTTTCTGCTTTCTGAATCATGGAGAGATACTGGGGCCGAGGGTGCTCTGCCCCCTGGTCCCAGCCTACGAGCCCCCAGCGATAGTTCAATTCCTCTGACTTACGACGCCAGAGCTCCAGGTAGAGGACTGCCCAGAAGGACATGAATACTGCGAAAATTACTGTTGCTGGGGTGTCAAAAAGGAGAGTCATTTTTGTGAGGATACAGGTGGTGTTCAGACGCCAGTAGTCGCAATTTCTATCGCACTGGGGACACATTATGATCGTGTCTGCCCAGGGGGAGCAGGCGTCTTTGCCTATTTCATTGGAATTTAGAGTTATTAGGCCATAGAAAAAGCACAATAGCCCTGCAATACTCGCTGGTATCAGCATATAAGTGTAGAATCCCAGCCAAGCAAAGTAGAGCGCAACATTGACTCCAAAATACTCTTGAATTTTGTCCAGTGGTTGCAGCTTCACCCACTTCTTCGTGCTAGCCCATTCATTGTATAGCAATGCTCGAGTGGTTCCTGCTTGTTGAAACATACCCTGGAACACAAATAATCCCTCAATTACTGACTTTTCCCGTCACTGACTTGAGCGGTCAGTTGAATGAAAAGAGAGGACCACTCTACTGACATCATGCAGAGGATATGCTGCGGAATAAACACCATTGGCAACTAGACGCTGAATTCCCTCAGACTGTCTCTCCAAAATAAAATCCACAATCATTGCACGAACGTTCGTAGGAAAAAAATTGTCATCCTCTAGGTCAAACCTTTCAGGGGGGAAAATCGAAATTACCAGGGAGTTCTACAGGTTGGAACTTAATTTTTCAGACTTTTTACTCACAAATAATCCTTGTCCCTCGAAAATTCAGCTAAAAGTCTCGTCTCACGTTTGGGGAATTTCGAGGGATCCAATTGTGCGCATTTGAATAAATTTATGAACCACGATTTGGCATCTTCGAAGATATCCTTGTCGGAGACCTCTAGTTCCTCACTGGACAGAGGTTTTATTGGCATTTTTAGTTTCATTATTTCGCAGAATCTACACAAGACTTCCTAAAATAAAATTAGAATTATTTATGGATTTTTTCTCCCGCGTTTTTCCATGAAAATTATACCTTTGGCGCATGAATCTTGATGAAGACCAGTTGGCGATTTTGTTCGTATTCTAATTGGAGTCCTTGATCTCTGAGTTCGTTCTCAAACTCCTCTCTCCTCAGTCCATGTGTTAAATTACCATTGTCCATGTAAGCGAGAACGAAATCAATTTGTTGGGGGTGGCTGTCACTCCCTGAATCCTTCACTGAGTCCATGGGAATGGGTAGATCCTGTTGTTCGGAGGAAATCATGTGTTCCGTTGCGTCCCAACGACCATTGTAAATACCTCTGACCCTCTCGATATCAGTATTCAGGGTCAGATTCATCCTTGCAAAGCTGAATAAATTAAAAGACTTTGTTGATTGATCAATTGAGTTCTTTTTTCAATTGAACACTCATTACAATAAAAATTTCGTTAATTATTTGAATCTATCTATTCATTAAAGAGAAGCATCATTGATTATCTCCAATCGCAATACTCCCCCTCTCAAAAGAATGATCCTTGAATTGACGAGAAGAGTCCCAAGGTTGCGTTAATTCTACTGATTTTTCAAATCTTGGAATACTACTGAGATGATTCACCAGTTAAAAATGAAAATGTGTCATAAAAATTCTTTAAGAGTCGAGTCAATCACGAATAATTAAAATGACATTACAAAAAAATTAATTAAATTCTCATTTCACCGTGAAAAAATGAATTCACTTACCTGCTCCAATATCAAAGTTTGAAATAATAAAGATGATTGTTATGACTAGATAAAAATAAGCAACAGGTATCACAGCTGATGCACCGAACACATCCAGAAGGCAATAATCGTACGAGAATGTGTTCCGAAACAATTTACATGTCGTTGACAGCTTATGCACGATTAATTAACTCAAACTGACCCACTTCGGGACACCGTCAACCTGTCGAAATGTTTCAAACCAATTAAACTAATGGGGAGCGCATTTTCACAAACTCCAGCCATAGTTGACATCGCGACTACTTAGTGGCGCCATCTGAATCACCAAATCAACGTTTCAATGAGGGAGATCCGATCAATTAGCCCCTCATGTATAGATATTCCAAATTTTTATTTTTTTCCTCGTTGAAGTAGTTTTTAAAAAAATTGCGAGCTAATAAAAAACATTTGCTAGTCAGTACTTTTTTTTTAATAAATTTTTGAAAAATCACCTCTGAAAAAAAACGCGTTATCCCCGCTATTTCATTATTTCCAAAAATTTTTATCACCAACCGATAGCAAATTGTTTGAAGATTTTTGCGAGTTAAGAAAAAATCGTCAATGCATTTCTATTATTGTGTAAATTAACAATTCCAATTTCAACTGAAAACCAGAGTTGATGACCAGAGTTTGTAACAGAGATGTCAGACAAGATATGAATGTTTTTTTGGCTCAAATGAAAGACCGGCTCGAAAAATGGCGTGCAGAAGTCTTTAAAGATGACAAAT